TCTTTACACCCAACCCCTATTGTTCATATATCCATCCAACCTATGTTTGAAGCTATCCAAGGTATTCGAGTTAATGATGATATTTGGTGTAATACATAAGAAGCTATCCTATCTGTGTCAAATTAGTTGAGCCGCAGATCTAGGCAGCAGTTGTCGGAGTAGGGGCAGAAGCTCTCGCTCCCCTGAGGCAAAGCAAAGCCGACCGAAGAAGAGAGAAAGACAGTCGACATCTCATCCAGGCTGTAACATAACTTCTGGGATGCTGCTTCTGTTCGGAGATCACCTCCGCGAGTCTGGCGTAGAAACATTTTGCACTTGGTCCCATCCCACCAGAGGTTGTGAACACTAGAGGAGTGCAGCTGCCTTGATCAACGTTTTGAATTCTCTCCCCATATGCCCTTCTCTTGTCGTTCTCGTTCTTCCTATGTGCAGCATCGAGAGCTAGGTTACGCTGACATGCGGCCATGGGATCAAATATCTTGAAGTCGAAGAAAGCTCGCTGTCCCCGCGTCCAGAATCCTCGAGCACTGACGTCCACACGGGCTTCGTTAGATGTGTTTGAAGTCCTGTGTTGGAAGACCTCACCATCCAATGGAAGGAGGGTCGGTTCTACCATGACATCCAGGCAGATTTCCTTCAACATACTTGCTATGAGGTCGCTTACCTCGTCGTGCCACTACTACTACTACTACTACTACTACTACCTCCCCCAATCGCCTCACCTTCGCCGCCATTTTATTACCTTAATATTAAATATCCTAATACATAAGTAACTATCCTATCTGTGTTGAATTAGTTGAGCCGCAGATCTATGCGGCATCCAGTGACTGTAGCCTCATAGACAATATCTCCAGATGTTGTCGGGATTGGGGCCGAAGCTCTCGTTCCCCTGAGGCAGAGCAAAGCCGACCTAAAGAGAGAGAAGGACAGTCGACATCTCATCCAGGCTGAAACATAACTTCTGGGCTGCTGCTTCTTTTCGGAGATCACCTCCGCGAGTCTTGCGTTGATACATCTTGCAATACTACTACTTCTACTACTACTACTACTGTAGGTTATGTATCTAAGCTACTGTGCCGAGTAGCAACCCTGTACATAAGCTAATGTGCCGAGTAGCATTTATATATATAATCACGTGGCAACACTGCACGTTATGTGGCATCATTGCCCCGAGGCTGCCATATGGCAAGGCAGTCTCAGTCTGACTGTGTGAGCCGTGCATGGCACACGCTAGTCACCACTTGTATTTCTCTCATCCATAATAAACGGACTTCAGTGTTACCCGGTGTTTCCCTACCCATCACTGCATTCCTCAGGGAACACATGTAACCATCATGACGCAGTGACTATGATCTGTGGACTTACAAAGTGTGTGAACAATGCCGACGGTTACATCTGCCGGCGATATGAGCGTCGACTCATAGTGTGTTGTGTTGTGTTGCGCTGTGTTTCGCCGTGATGTGCAGTGTTGGGCCTTCACAGTGCTTTTTAGTGGCGGTGGCAGTGTTAGTGTCAGTGTATTAGTGTGTGTCTAGAGCTGAGAGTTGAGCATTGGCCTGTTTTTTGTGGTACCCACGGAGCACGCAGGCGTACACCCTTCTCGTGTGACATCCCGGGAGACACTGACGGTCTCACCCCCCCCCCCCGCCGCGACTCTAGCCACCGGCATTGAGGCCACCACGAAGTGCTCTCTCAGACACAAACACACACACGCACGCACGCACTCACTCACGGACAGAACAGTGGACTCTGGGTTATTTCTGCGCTGTTTATGTCATATATATGTGGTTCGAGCTGTTGAGGCGCCACTTTATATACTAAACAGTGCAGTCCACGCACTCACAAAGATGGGCGGTAAGAAGAGACAACGTCAAGATGGGAGACACGACTCCCCACCACCTTCTCCTCCACCGGGCGCAGACTCTCATCCTCCACCTCCAGTGACGGACATTGCCACAATTCTGAGGTGGATGGACGACCGGGACGAGCGACGTAGAGAGATGGAACTTCAGAGGGAGGAGACACGAAGAGAGGAGGAAAAGTTGCGTTTTGAGCCACTATTGGCGACCCTGGCGCTAACCCACCCTCCCTCACTCGCAGGTAGCGCGCTTCAAGGCGCCAGTACACTCCCTCCTCCACCACACCAGCGTCCTCCAGGTACTCTTGCCTCCAAACAAACAGCTCATCCAACTGTGGATGTGTTTGTCGCTGGAGACCCAGAGAGATTTGGAGCACAAGTTGCAAGTGCCTCCCGATTCTACATCTTCAGTGACGGATGTGCTCGACCTTTTACAGAAGCACGTTAAAGGTCGGAATAACGAGGCTTTGCGTCGCCGCGCCTTCACCAGCTGCAAGCAGGCGGAGAACGAATCCTTTGACGACTTTTTTGTATGCTTGAAGAGTTTGTCAGAGGAGATCGACGTCTGCAAGGCGCACAGCCGGGAATGTGAGGAAGCCTGGATCAAGCACGGGAAAATTGACAGGTGTCAGGCACGAAGAGTTGGTGCAGCGACTCATCCCCCTAGACGCTTCCTCCACACTCCAGGTGGTAGTGACTGAATGTCGGTCATATGAGGCCACCAAGACCCCCACCTCTGCCTTACAGGCCCCTCCTGCTGTGAGAGCAATCTCTCAGTACAAGAAGGGTAAGAAGGCGGCCAACAACGCGAAGGCTGCCACACGTTCTTCCACGCCTCCGCCTAGTGCTTCCTGTGGCAGCTGTGGAAAGCAGCACAGCCCCAAGACATGCCCAGCCGCCGACGCACTGTGTCGTGGATGTGAGCGTAAGGGCCACTGGTCTAACACAGACAGGTGCCCTGCACGAAACCGCAAGTGTCAGGCCTGCGGTCGCTAAGAACACTACGACAAGTGCTGCCGCCAACCCAAGCCCAAAAGCCCGAGACGAGGAGGAAAGCAGCGCACTTCCCTCTGGGTGGTTCGCACGCAGCCCCCTCCAGATGGCCCACACAGTCCCAAGCGGCAGCGGAGTCACATCAAGAAGGTGGAATCGACCACACGCCATAGGGCTACCCCTTCCCCCACCATCCGCGTCGCCGTCACACACGGTGATGTGTCAGGTCACATCGAGGTGATACCGGACACCGGCGCTGATACTACGGTGATTGGGTTGAAGCACCTCCAGAAACTGGGCCTCACCAAACGCGACCTGGGACCACCGCCGCAGCTGCAGTACTACAAGGCGGACGGTTCCCAGATGCCGGACGCTGTGGGCTCCTTTCAAGCGGAGATCACTTACGGCGACACGTCGTGTCACGGATGGATCGACGTGCAGCCTACTCTCGCTACACCCTTGTTGTCGTGGGAGCACCTCAAGGAGTTAGGCGTGGTGCCCAGAGACTTTCCTGAGCAGATCCCAGCTGCTCGTTACACCGCCAGCAGGGTGCCCGAGTCGACGAGCGATGCGCCGGGCGCTGCCACGCAGAACTGCCCAGTACCCGCGTCCACTCCCACCAACATAGGACGCTCCCCTGCCCAGATCCTGTATGGTCACCCTCTCCGCTCTTGCGTTCCTGCGCACGCCAAGGCCTTTGTGAAGGACTGGCAGACCAGAGCCGAGAGCTGCTACCGCCGCGCCGCTACACGTGCCCAGGACGCCAAGGCTCGGTATGACGACCGTGCCCGCCCTCTTCAGCCGCTGGAGATTGGTGCCCTTGTCCGCGTCCAGGACCCGACGACGACACGTCGGCACAAGGTTGGCATAGTGATGGGCGTCGGCCGGTCGAGGGACTACAAGGTCAGGATGCCGAGCGGCCGTGTCTGGTGGAGGAACCGCCGCTTTCTCCGGCCAGTCCCACCCCCTGCTGCTGGCCCTTTGACCGAGGACGAGTCCCCTACATCTCACGAGGATCCGCCCCACAGTGCACCTCGACGCTCGGAGCGACTTAGAACTAAGAAGTCCGCTCAAGACAAAGAATATGAGCGTAAGGGGGGAGGGAGATGTAGGTTATGTATCTAAGCTACTGTGCCGAGCAGCACCCCTGTACATAAGCTACTGTGCCGAGTAGCATTTATATATATAATCACGTGGCAACACTGCACGTTATGTGGCAACATTGCCCCGAGGCTGCCATATGGCAAGGCAGTCTCAGTCTGACTGTGTGAGCCGTGCATGGCACACGCTAGTCACCACTTGTATTTCTCTCATCCATAATAAACGGACGTCAGTGTTACCCGGTGTTTCCCTACCCATCACTGCATTCCTCAGGGAACACATGTAACCATCAACTACTACTACTACTAATGATAATAATAATAATAATAGCATAGTTACACTTAAGGTTGAGATACAATTATAAGAGTTGAGATTTCTTTGTCATAACAGTAAGAAATAATATCTAGAGTCATTACGGTAAAGTTTATTTTGTTTCTAAAAATATTCAGCTTCACCACTTAAAAAGAAAAAGTAATTTTTTCGGCCTTCATCACAAGTAAACCACTCCTTGCCTCTATTATCTTTAGTAACGTTCTATAATCCAGGGGCGGATCAAGGGGATCCTCGAGTAAAGACCCCCTTTTCATCCGAAAATTCCAATACTTGTTCTTTAATGCAGTATTGTACTCAGGCGTTTTTGTAGAGTAAAAAGTTATTGCTATTGCCCACAGCATATCTCCTAATATCAAATGCACATGGCCTCAAAATGCCCATGATATTGATCAGATTTCAATAAAATTTATCGGGAGGCGGACAACATCCTCCCCTCCAATCCCCCGAAAAAAAAAAAAAAATACTGGGTGGGCTCGCTCTGCTCGCCATGTTCCCCCCACCCTCAACTTCTAGGACTCCCCATTTTAATATTTCCTGATCCGTCCCTGTAATCAACTGTTGTAACAAGTACTAATATATGCTTGAAATTTTGTTCCCATTTTTATCATAATCATTCGAGTCATTGAGTTTGCGTAGTGTGATTTTTTTTTAACTCATTGGTAATTTATATTAAGATGGGAATGCTTCTAATGATGAAATAATTTGACTATTTCAGAGGTCGGTAATAGTTTCCTTGGCTGTGGGTCTCTTGATCGTGACCTGCCTCGCCATGCCAGATGACAGTGGCGGCCACGGTGGTGATGGTGGCGGCTATGGTAGATCCGGTGGCGGAGGTGGCTATAGTGGCTCCAGTGGAGGAGGTGGTTATGGTGGCTCCAGTGGCGGAGGCGGTTATGGTGGCTCCACTGGCGGAGGCGGCTATGGTAGCTCTAGTGGCGGAAGTGGCTATTCTGGCTCCAGTGACGGAGGCGGCTATGGTGGTTCCAGTGGTGGAGGTGCATATGGTGGCTATGGTAGCTCCTGTGGCGACGTCGGTCATGGTGCCTCCATTGGCGGAGGCGGCTTCGGTAGCTCCGGTTGTGGAGGCAGCTATGGTGGCTCCAATGGCGGGGGCGGCTATGGTAGCTCCAGTGCCGGAAATGGCTATTCTGGTTCTAGTGGCGGAGGCGGCTATGGTAACTCCGATGGAAGTTATGGAAAATATATGTAATCATAAAGAAATGAGACACACCAATACTAAGTTTCCTGAACTCTTCTTCGCCAGTTTGTGTCTCGTGATTCTTGTGTAGTAATAATAAAACTTAAACGACTGTGAAAATAACTTTGATTAACGCCAACTTCCCATTCCTGACATCAATTACCAAGTGTAGTGTAAGAACAATTAATGGAACACTTGAAGAATTAATTTTATGAACTATGCACGATGTTAAACTAATCCGCGTTTGAATCTAATGATTAAAAAATAAAACTTCATATAAAAATTGAGCCTCCTTTTCATCATTTAAGTTTGAGGAAGAAATAATGTAAATAAAACCTAAAATTCATATATTCATTTCGTGAATTCTTATGTTTCATACAATATTCATGGCGTCATATAATACACTAAATATGTAAAATTAAAAAAAAATGCATGTCTTGATACTTAACTGTCATGGTTAACCTATAATATCCGACAAACAGCACTGTGCTAGAACTTGGATGGATCAAACACTGCCAGAATTAACTACACCTCTCACACTCCCCAAACACTTTCTCATGACCCACCCCAGTGAAAATAACTCAGGATTTTAGATATTTAATGCCATTTCTATCCAATGGTGTCGTTTAATTCCAGTAATCTTATATGTCAACCCTCAAACGTGCATGTAGTAAACAAAGTGGTAATATTTGTCTCATCTCACCTGTCGTATTTCTCCCACTCCCCACGAAAAACCTCGAATTGAATTGAATTGAATTGAATGGAATTGAAACAGTTCATTTAGCCAGAAAAACACAGATACAGAGTGGATAATAATAACAATATTAACAGTTGAGAACCTGAGCTCTCTTTTAGGCACCTGATATATACTATACATTTATTTCAAGGAAGTATTATGTAAGATTTATTATCATCTGGAATAGTACAATAGCATAGCGGTAATAAGAACATCTAATAATGTTACCAATGTTATCACTCTAATATTTTATTTATTTATTATTTTTTTCTGTTTAGTTTTTAATTTATTTACATATATATAAATTATAGTGGAATTGAAAAACATTAGTATAATGGGGGAGCAGGGGTTGTACAGTAATAAGGTTGAACAAGAGGACAGAGCTGTCAGGATTATGTCTAGTTTGGTAATTATGTTTATTGCAATGGTAATTACTTATCTATTTACATGATAATTTCCGATGAAACGGCTGTGATGGTACAATAAAAACAGGTATTGTAAATATAGTAGGTGTTACAAGAAATATTTATACATAAACAATAGATATTTTTTAAGAGATGGTTTAAAGGAAGGGAGAGTAGTCTTTGCTCTGATGGATGGGGGTAAGTTGTTCCACACCTTCACACCGTAATACAGTATGTTATGGAGGTCTGGGACTGAGAGGAGCGCATGGGGGGTTGTCTTAGTAGCTCTGGGTGCCTTAAGTTGTATCTCTGATTATTCCGGAAATGGAAATAATTATTGTCAAGCACGTGATTGATAGATTTGTAAACAAAGAGGGCACAGAAGTAGATGTTAATACCTTCGAATTTTAAAATTTTCAATATAGCAAATTTTTCGTTTGTGTGATCTGTTTTTTTCAAGTTGGTCATTATCCTTACAACTCTCTTTTATGCAGTAACCAGTTATTGTGTGTTTGAAGAGCCAGAGGCCCCCCATAGTCTGTGACAGTGTATCAGGTTTTGGTAAACAAGATCATGATAGATTTCTTTCATTGCTGTGAGAGTGAGTGACTGTCGAGTGTGACACATGATACTGCACTGTTTAATAATTTTGCTGTGAATGGCTTGTATGTGGTTTCTCCAGTTAAGTTTCTCATCAACATTAACTCCGAGGAATTTAGTATTGTGTTCGCGTTTGAGGACTATATTACCAAGGTACAGGGGGTTGAAGACTGGAGGTAAGTTTTTTCTTCTGTGAAAGATCGTGTAATGGGTTTTCTCAAGGTTTAAGGTCAGTTTATTACGTATTACCCAGGTTCCGACTTTAGTTAATTCAGTGTTCATAGTTCTCATCAAGGAATGGAGGTCTGAGTTGCTGGCATAGAGATTACTATCGTCTGCAAATAAGTTGTATTTTATGAGTGAGCTAGCGTGGACTATGTTGTTTATGTATAACAAAAACAATACTGGACCGAGGAGTCAGAGTGGTGGTTATTATAACAGACGTACTGCATCCTGCTGGACAGATATGAGGTAAACAAATTGTGGGACAGGCCCCTAACGCCTTAATGTTCAAGCTTTGAAAGGAGGATGGTATGGTCGACAGAATCGAAGGCTTTAGAGAGGTCCTAGAATATACCGAATGTGAACTGACTGTCATCAAAGGAATTTAAGATGTCATTAGTAAAGGATAGCAGAGCACTCTCAGTCGACCTTCTAGCTCTAAATCCAAACTGGGAGTCTGTAAAGATGTTATTGGCATTGCAGAAGAAATTTAGTCTATTACATGCTAGCATTTCCAGTATCTTACTCAAGGCTGGGAGGACTGATATGGGGCGGTAATTCTTGAAGAGACCTTTATCCCCAGATTTCTTATATGCCGGGTGGACTTCAGCAATTTTCAATTTATCAGGAAAGACACCACTGGTGAAGGAGGAGTTACAAATGTGGAGGAGAACAGGTAGTAATAAGTAGGCCAATTTCTTAATGATGCTCATTGGTATATTATTATCTTCACCTGCTGCTGCATCTTTGGACATTTTTATGATGGCCAGTAATTCATCTGCTGTGACAGGTGGCTGCGTGAACGTGCAATTCTGGCACCAAAGAATGAAACAGTGGCTGATATCAACGTGACTCTACTCAGACAGCTTCCAGGCAGTGAGACCTCATTCAAATCTGTTGATACAGTAATCGGCCAGGACCAAGCAGTCCAGTACTCTGCAGAATTCCTTAATTCTTTGGAGCCCGCTGGAATGCCTCCTCACCACCTCACTCTCCAGATTGGAACTCCTATAATGCTCTTAAGAAATCTTGAACCACCAATCCTCTGCAATGGCACAAGACTGGTGTTGAAGAACATGATCCCACATGTACTGGAAGCTATAATACTGACAGGAAAAACTAAAGGAGAGGACGTTTTTATACCAAGGATACCTCTCATCACAACTGATCTGCCATTTGAGTTCAAACGACTTCAGTTCCCGGTTAAAGTGAGCTTTGCCATGACCATCTACAAAAGCCAGGGACAGTCCCTAAAGATGGTTGGCCAAACCTGGTGTTTCCTTGCTTCTCTCATGGACAGTTCTATGTTGGATGCTCCAGAGTGGGAACTGGCAAAAAATCTGTACATATTTGCTGCTAATGGCAAAACCAAAAATGTGGTCTACCTTAATGCACTACAGTGAGACAATGTGGAGCCTCCAGAAGGGTGACGTCCTTCCGTAACATAGCGAAGCGATCGCAGAAGGTATATATACGAGGAGTGAGTTTGACTAGCTAAAGTCTGAGAGAAGACGGACTAGAAGGAAGGTCGCCTACTGAAACTAACCTCTAAAGACTCCAACAACATCATCGAAAGGTACGTACATAACGAGTAATATGAAGATAACTTGTCCACACCATCCAGTGAATATATAATACGACTACCCACTTATCACTCGACCATCCCACCAAACTATCTTCACTCACCCACATAAAATGAACAATATTAATAATAATAACAACACTGTAATAATAATAATAAAAATAATAATAATAATAATAATAATAATAATAATAATAATAATAATAATAATAACAATAATAATAATAATAATAATAATAATAATAATAATAATAATAATAATAATAATAATACAAATAATGATAATAATAATAATGATAATAATAATAATAATAATAATAATAATAATAATAATAATAATAATAATAATAATAACAATAATAATAATAATAATAATAATGATAAAGAACCATAAAGAAATACAAAAATTAAAAAAAGATCAAAAGTGAGAAACAATATATGTATGTTGTGTTGTCAATAGTACGAGAAACAATTGAGACCCTGCAATTGTGTGTAAATGAGGCAGAAAGTAAGATCAGCAACCTGGGACTTAATCACAATTTTTGTGATGTCATATGGCGCAGGGTATACCATTAGACCAATACATTACATCCAATATCTTCCAAGGCGGCAGTACCTCCCTGTTTGGTAGCTGCCTACTTCCTATTTTTTTTTTTAATATGGCCTCCAGC